TTTGGACTTCCCTGCTGGTGATGGTGGATTTCTTGTTGTAGTGAGCAAGACGAGATGCTTCACCGGCAATACGTTCGAAGATATCGTTGACGAAGCTGTTCATGATTCCCATGGCTCTGCTGGAGATACCAGTGTCTGGGTGAACTTGCTTCAACACCTTGTAGATGTAGATGCTGTAGCTCTCCTTTCGCTTACGTCTTCTCTTCTTGTCGCCAGTTCTGACGGCCTTAGCCTTACCGGCTTTTTTGGCAGCTTTTCCTGAAGCTTTTGGAGGCATGTTTTCTATGTAGTCTACGAATAGATGAGTGACGAACGTTTGAACGAGCACGGTATTTATAGAGTGAGATATGCAAAGTAGGACTTCTTGGTCGGCTGTATTATCTCAAGGGTTCCTATTGGTTGTTGAAAACGCGCGATTTATTGAATTGGTGATAATTGTGCTATGCGGGCTAATCAACAGCATATGAGGCATTATAAAACCTATTTTTCTAAACAGGCGCCAAAAATTAGCTACAGTAAAATGACAATGCAATTGAAATGACGCCCAATTTCCAAGTTGAGTAACTACAAATAATTAGTATATGACATATAATAATACATTACTAATAATGTGTGTAAATATATCTGTGGTACGATATTGATTTTATTCTGCTATCTTGACAACGATTAATTCTCTTTAAACATAAAATATAATAGAGATATGTTATACACACAAATAAGAGTGTAAAAACGTGTAAAATCACAGTGTACATAGTTTCAAAAAAATACAAATTGATATTGAAGGTTTTAAAAATTTAGGCCTGTTCTAATTGTTTAGTTGGTGATATTTTATCATGAACAATTGGTCTAATTTAAAGAACCCCAAATTTGTTCGTGGATCTGCTGCAGGCCCTTTGAATTGGTAGACCCCTAAATATTTTTTGGGCCGATGGTGTTGTTTTATTGGCAAATAATGAACACGAAATGATAAAAATGTTAAATTTCGCAGGGAAGTGTGCAAAGGAGTAGAAGTCAAGTTTCAATAATGAAAAAACTCTGAGGAAAACTTATTAACCGAGAGAAACAATGGAAAATTGGTGAAAAATTCATGAGTTAGATTGCTATAAATATTTTGAAGTTATAATTTCCCCAAATCAAAAAGCACCTAACCAATACCAACATATAATTTAAAAAAGAAATCGCTTAATTTCGTATATTAATGGTATAATTGGAAACCTTGATGATTTTAATAGATTCTATTATGGTAGTATTCTCTGGAAGACAATAGCGCTTCCATCAATTAATTATGTAATAATGGCTTAGAAGAACTACAATTCGCTGTACACCTCAAGAAGCATGGGGATTTAGGCTGGACCCCGTTATAAAAAACACATGAAATTTTACTAAAATTAAATTAATTAACCGTGTAATAAATATGAATGAAAATTGGTGGCCGAATACCCTAATCCATTGCATGCTTCAACTCAATTGCAACTTTGATATGTTAAATTACACATTTGTTGATTTGTGTAAGAATAAACTTGCTAAATGAAACGATTTAAATATGTTCGAACAAGTTTTCAATTAGGATAACTTTACTTTTAATTCTTTTTTTTTAGAACTGTTGATATACATGTTGCAGACTCATACAACATTTAGTGGGCAAATCAAATTAACCAAAAGTCCTCTTGAATTATTCAAAATTTAAATCTCTACGAAGACCTGAGAAATATTTTTTCTTGAAGAAACTAAACAAAATTAATGTTATGGGGGCAAGGGTATAATTGAAATCAAGACCTATCACATCACCCCAGGACCTGCAAATGGTCTAAAGAAATAACTGATCAGTGTACCTTATGCTGAAGTGGTGAAATTGAAGATATCCATCATTTTTTATTTATGTAAATCATCTGATACAACCAGAATTAAATTTTGCGAGACTGCAACATGACTTAATTTTTACTAATTTTCAATGATAAACTTGAATTCGACCTTTAGGTAAATGCTCCTATATACATACATACACAAACATAACCTAATGTCTTTGATTACTAACCACGCAGATTATATATATATATATATATATATATATATATATATATATAATATATATATACATACATTTGAGCTTATACATATATATGTATATATATATAT